GTACTCTGACCCCGCCCTCGCCAGCCGCTTGCCTCCGAGCCCGCGCGAGCGCTTGAGCCCCTCACGTGGGCCGACAGACCCCGCCCTCTCCCGGCGCGCTCCCGGCCCCCTCCTCCGGTCACCTGTCCCGGAGACCCCGCGGCGTCCGCAACTCCGGTTCCGTCGGCCTCCGTGTCCGCAGCTCCCGGGCCAAGCGCGTCACTTCCTGCCTGTACCACGTGAAAAGAGGAAATAAAGCCTGTCACTTCCGGTCCTGAGTGCGCGTTTCCGGGAGTCTTAAAGGGTCAGCGTGCCCCATCGGATCTCCAGAGTGTTGCAGGTTTCTTCCTCCTGCCTCCCTCAGAGAATTTGCAATCCTTAAACTCTGAAGGCTTCTTTCTTTAGGATTTTCCACCTCGAGCCACTCATTCCCGATTCTAATAAATAGAAGCCAGACACCAGGAATGACTTCTGGAGTCCTAAACTGACCACCTCTTCTTGCCAATGAAACTTTAATTTTTAAAGTTGTAAGCAATTATTAAAATATTTAAATTTTTGCTGGGCGTGGTGGCTCACGCCTTTAATCCCAGCACTCGGGAGGCAGAGGCAGGCGGATCTCTGTGAGTTCAAGGCCAGCCTGGTCTACATAGTGAGTTCCAGGACAGCTGGGGCTACAGACCCTGTCTCAAAAAGACAAAAAAAAAAAAAGTCATCAAAGCCTGACATGGGCACATGCCTGTAATGCCAACACTTGGGAGGCTGAGGAGGTTGAGGCTAGCCTGGTCTGCATAGAGAGTTCTTGGCCAGCTTCAGCTACATTAAAAAGACCCTGTGCAGTTCCGCACTCCCCTCCCCCCAAAAAGCAGGTGGGATGGCAATCTGAATTGATCCCTGAACTGACATGCACACAAGCAAGGTTGATCCCAGGAGTGGCGCACGCACAAGCAAGCACCTCTACCTGCTGAGCCATCTTGCTGGGACTTTTTTTTTTTTAGCAATCTTAAATACTTGAGATGAGCTTCAAATTCCTAATCCTCCTGCCTCAGCCTACCCAGTACTGGGATTATAGGCTTGTAGCCACTCCCCCACCCTACCCCCATTTGTCAATCTTTTAAACTGTTGTGAAATTTCCTAGCCTATATATAAATGGCCACAACTTGTTCAGTGTAGCTATTGGGTCATTCCAGTTACTGAGAATTGCCTCCAGCACTTGACTGGTGGACATCCAAGGGGACCCCTGTGTGTGTGTGTGTGTTATGTATGTGAATATCTGTGTCTGGTGTGTGTACCTGCGCATGTGTGATGTGTGAGTATGTGTATGTTTCTGGTGTGTGTGATGTGTGTATGTGGTGTGTGTACATGTGTGTATTTGGTGTATGTGTATGTGTGATGCATATGTATGCATGTGCATGCGTGTATGTACATGCTACTTGAGTGTGCGTGGTATAGGTGCATGTGTATGTTTGTATGTGGTGTATATGTATGTGCATGTATGTGGTGTGTATACATGTGTGCATGTGTATGTGGTGTGTGTGATGTGTATGCATGTGCATGTGGTATGTATGTATGTTGTGTGTCTGGGGGCTGTACATGGGGGGATATGTATGTGTGTGATGTGCATGTGGGGGGGTGTGCGTGTGTGTGTGTGTGTGTGTGTGGTGTGTGGTGGAGATCAGACCCAGGACCTTTAGGATATTAAACACAGTGTCACTGAGCTACATCCTCAGCCCAGTTTTGTTGCTGTTGCTTTAAGAGAGGAGAGGGCATCAGATCAACCGGAACTGAAGTTGTAGGAGGGCATAAGCTGCCTGATGTGGGTTCTAGGAACCCTGCACTGACCCCTGGACATTTTTTTAAGATAGACTATTTAGCCTTGACTGGCCTGGAACTCACTATATAAACCAGGCTGGGTTCAAATTCACATAGATCCACCATGCCTCCTTTCCCCCTGCTGGGATAAAACATGTGCGGAACCACACCTGGTGTTTTAGTTTTTTGAAACAAGGTCTTCTTGTGTAGCCCAAGCTGTGATCAGACTCCATGTGATGTGACTCTCCTGTCTCTGTCTCCTGAATGTTGGGGTTGCAATGTGAGCTACCCAGTCCAGCCTAGTTGTTTTTTTTTTTTAAATGGGGGGTGGGGGAGAATGAGCTCCACAGTACAGACTTGGAGCTTGGAGGCCAGGGACTTAAACGAGTTGGTTCTCTCCTTCTACCATGAAGGATGTGGGGCTCAAACTCAGGTCCTCAGACTCTCAGGAGACTCCCTTACACAATGAGCCATCTTGCCAGGCAGTTTTGTTTTATTTGATTGTTATACTTGTGTTTGAGACATGATCTCACTGTGTAACCCAGACTGGCCTGCCTGCAAGTCACTATGTAGATCAAAGATTAATTTACATTATTTTTACTTGGGGAGTGAGATGACCCAAGGCAGACCCATGTATGATACCTAGGGCCTTGGACTTGCACAAGGTTGGAAGGGAGAAAAAAACAGTTAAAAAGTCAGGCATGGTGGAACACACCTCTAGTCCGTTGGGAGGCAGAGGTAGGTGGACCTCTGTGAGATCAAGGCCAGCCTAGTCTACATAGTGAGTTCCAGGCCAGCTGGGGCTACAGAGAGACCCTGTCTCAAAAAAAACAAAACAAAGAAAAAAACAGATCAGGGAACTTGGAGTCCCAGCCAGTCGGGAGGCTGATGCAGGAGGAGGAAGATTGCAACTCAGCCTGGGGTACATTCTGAGACCTGTTTCAAAATAAAAAGTATATGAGGTAGCTGGGCATGGTGGCACATGCCTTTAATCCCATCACTTGGGAGGCAGAGGCAGGCCTATCTCTGTGAGTTCAAGGCCGGCCTGGTCTCCATTAGCGAATCCAGGCCAGCTGCGGCTACAGGGAGACCTTGTCTCAAAAAGACAAAAAAAAAAAAAAACAGTTCAAAGTCATCTTCAGATACATAGTGAGGTAGTGAGGTTTTTTTGTTTTTGTTTTTGTTTTTTTGTTGGCCTTTTTGAGACAGGGTCTTCTTGTAGTCACAACTGTATGGAGACCAGGCTGACCTAGAACTCACAGAGGTCTGTCTACCTCTGTCTCCCGAGTGCTGGGATAAAAGGTGTGTGCCACCATGCCCAGCCATGAGTTTTGAGGCCAGTCTAAGCTAGCATGGGTAAAGCCCTGGGCTCCATTCCTTCCCATAGCTAGAAGCTGTCTCAAACAAAACAGAAAACAGCCACTTCAGGTATCATGGAACTGTCATCCCAGCAACATGTAGGAGTCTGAAGCAGGAGGATGGCAAGTTCAAGGCTGGACAACTTAGTGAGACTGTTTGAGTTGAAAAGTGGGCTGTGGAGATGGCTCAGCTTTTAAAAGCAATTGCCGTTCTTTTAGAGGAGTTCAGTTCCTTTAGAGGACTTCGGTTCCCAGCACCCACGTAGGGTGACTCACAACCACCTGTATCAGTTCCAGGGAATTCGACACTCTCTTCTCACCACACACGTCTGCACACACACAAATAAATAAATAAACAAACAAATAAATAAATAAATATAAGGGCTGGAGAACAGGCTCATTGGTTAGGAGCACTTGCTCTTGCAGAGGGCCCACATTCACTTCCCACCACCCATATCAGGTGACTTGAAACCATCTATCACTCCATCTCCAGAGGATATGACACCCTCTTCTGGCCTCCAAGGACACCTGCACTCATGTGCCCAAACCCACACAGAGAAGCACACATATACACATAATTAAAATAAAAATCTTAAAAATTGGGGCTATGAGGGACTGGAGAGATGGTTAAGAGCACTGGCTGCTCTTGCAGATGACCCAGGTTTGAATCCCAGCAACCACATGGCAGCTAACAACTGTCTGTATCCAGTTCCAGGGCATCTGAAGCCCTCTTCTTTCCTCTTCGGGCACTGCATGACATGGATGCGGGTGCTGGGATTCGAACCCAGGTCTTCTGCAAAAACAACCAGTGTTCTTAAGTGCTGAGCCATCTCTCCAGCCCCGTAAAATAAAAAAAAAAATTAAAGTTTTTTAAATTAAAAAAATTGGGGCTGGGGAGATGGCTTAGCAGTTAAGAGCACTGGCTGCTCTTCCAGAGGACCCAGGTTCGATTCCCAGCACCCACATGGTAGCTAACAATCATCTGTAACTCCAGTTCCAGGAGATCTGACACCCTCTTCTAACCTCTGAGAGCTTTGCACAACAGGAGTGCACTTACATACATGCAGGCAATACAGGCATAGATATAAAAATAATAGAATTTTTAAAGTTTAAAAAAATATGGGCCAGGTGTGGTGGCGCACGCCTTTAAGCCCAGCACTTCGGAGGCAGAGGCAGGCGGATCTCTGTGAGTTCAAGACCAGCCTGGTCTACATAGTGAGTTCCAGGACAGCTGGGGCTACAGGGAGACCCTGTCTCAAAAAGACCAAAAAAAAAATTTTTTTTTATTTGTATGAGTGTATTACCTGGATGTGTGTAAGTGAACCTGTGTCACGCAATGTCCTCAGAGATCAGAACGAGTGAGATCCCCTGGATCTGGAGTTATGGGCATATGTTAGCTGCCATCTAAGGTGGCATGGGGGAAAGTGGAAGAGGGAAGGTTGCAGAGGGTATGTCATTATAAGAAGCTCACACATTTGTGTTCTAATAAAAGGGACACTGCCAGGCAAGGTGGCATACACCTTTAAACCAAGCATTTGGGAGCAGAGGCAGAGGCTGATTGCTGTGAGTTTAAAGCCAGCCTGGTCTATAGTGAGCTCCAGGCTAGCTGAGGCTACAGGAAGACCCTGTCTCAAAAAGACCAAAAATAAATAAATAAAATTTTTTTTTAAATGGGTGAGGTTACAGCTCAATGTTTGAATTTATTTAGGCTGTGTGATGGCGTGAACACAACACAAAAATCACACTGGTGCGTCCCAGTGGTAGAGCCAGAGTTAAGCATTCTTGAGGTCCTGGGTTCGAGTCCCAGCACTGCAAAACCAAGTCCGTGTCCTGGGCTTGCGGTGAGCATTCAGGCCTTGGCGAGGCTCCTGCGCTCCCACCTTCTGCCGCTAGGGGGAAGCAGGCGCCCAGTGCATTCGCGGACGCGGCCCGCCGCGGGGGCAACTCAGGCAGAGGAAGCTGATGAAATCCTAGCCAACTTGCAGTGAGCTCATCCCGCCCGGGCGCCTCCGGAAGCCACCGGGCGGCCTAGCCTCCGCCTGGCCCCTGCCTGGGCCGAGCGA